GGTACTTGCTCACTATGTTTTCAAAAGTTTGCTTTTCTTTGTGTTTGTGGGTTTTGAAAAGAGTTTTGTTTGAAACTTCGATTTAACTCTTGCTTCTGTCCTCAAGAGTGTAATGAAGTGTTTTGGAAACTTTGTTCGAAAAGTGTAAGTGTGAAAAGTTTTGTTTTGTTTTAAAAGGAGCAAGTACTTAAGAACCTCTACCTACTCAAAAAGGAATTAAATTGTGCAAATGTCCTTTAGACAGTACTATCCCACTATTGAAGAGTAGGTAGCACCGTCGTTGGAGTTTTTCGGGTCAATTCGATTTTAGGGACGTGTGGTCACTAAAACAACGTTAGGACGCTTTAGTGGTAATGCTAATGTCTTAGATCATTTTTATCGAGGCGACCATTTCGAGGCAACTTATGATCTTGGGACAAAAGGACGACCTCTAAAACATCCTATACTTAATGACCACATTCGAGGCAACCAAGTGATGTGTACCCTAGGAGTGGCATGTGCAAGTGTGTCAATTTTCAGTTATATTATCTTTGCATGTCATGGTGAGCTACTGTTGATTTTAAGGTTAATCTTGTCATGCAATCCTAGTTAGCATACATCTAAACAGTTAATATATGTACATGAATTTAAAGTGCGGGAATTGTAAATCCTACGCTATTACAAGGCTTCGGGGAGGGGGATTATTTACATGTCCAAAAATTGGGGGAATAAAGCAGTAAAGTAAAAGTCTTAATTTAAGCTACCACAAACCAGTAAGCAGTTACCATAAAATAAACGCGCGCGAATCTGAAAATAAACTCTAAGAAAAAAGTCCTAAGAAATAAATCTTTTTGTTGTTTTATTTTATTTTGGGAAAATGATCTAAATCTACTTAATTTTAGTTTTTTGAGAAAATGTTAAGATAATTAAATGATTAATTAACCAAGTTAATTTAATAGAAAAACTAGCCTAATGTTTTTTATGTTTTTTTTATTTTATGTTTTAATGTTAATTAAAAATATAAAAAGATGTCAATGAAAACAAAAATAAAATACAAAAAGGGGATCCTTTGATCCAGGTGAAAAAAAAGAATTTCGACCCAGGGAGGGAAATGGTCCTTTCGATTGGGCCAGACAGTAAGGCGTGAACAGCCTTCGATCCAGGAAAGGGGGTTTCCCTTCAATCCTGGGAAAAATGCCTTCTTCGATCCAGGAGGATTATGGGAAGCTTCGATCCAGAGAAGGTGTCTCCTTCGATCTAGGATGCTATACCTGCAAAAGTATGTTAGCAAAATAAAACTCAGGGCCTGGGTGTTGAACCCCAGGCCCTTCGATCCTGCACTTGCTGGGTCTCTTCAGGCTATGTCTGCAGCAAATATTAGCAAACGATGGACATGGCCTGGGTGCCAAACCTAGGCCTCTTGATCCTGTCTAGGATAGAAAATCGAAGGTAACAACCAGTATGAATGTATTATGCAAATATGAGGTTGGATAGTTTACCCTTTCTTACCAGCAGATTGGACTTTTAATTTGGGCACTTCCTGGATGTAGGCACCTTCGATATGGGTACTTCCTGAATGTAGGCACTTTTGATTTGGGGTTTCTGGGCGTGGATGCTTTTGTTGAAGGGCTGCTTTGGCCTGGAAAATTCTGACAACCTTTGATGGATTGTATGGGCAGCACCTCTCTCTATTTTTTTCTGTATATTTTTCGTGTGTAATTTTCGTCTGTTGTTGTTCACCCTTTGAAATGTGCCACTGGCCCTTGTATTTATAGGAGTGGGGGTCTAGTAATGGCAGGAGACAACATTTAACCAGGCCATTAAAGCCAGGAGACAAGAATCAGATACATTAAATTATTTCCTTTTTGAAATATTCATGTCTCTTTGGAATCTGGAATGAACCTGGACATGTTTTGATTTTCGAATTCCTTCAGGCCATGCTCTTCGATTGGCCTTGAGTTTCTTCCTTCGAATGGACTTCCCATGAGCCTTCTGAATGCTTCTTCGAATGGTCTTGAGTTACTTCCTTCGAATGGACTTCCCATGTATCTTTCGAATGGGCCTTCTGAATGCTTCTTCGAATGGTCTTGAGTTGAACAGAAACATTCTGGTCGAATCAGCTCTTTAGGAAAAGAAGAGGCAAGAATCGGGCCTTTAACTCAGGAATTAAATCCACAATCAGCATTTAATTATTTTCATATTTGCAAGGGAAACATGCCATTTTCTCATGTTCAGTGTACCTGGACATGTTTGAGTGCCCTCTTGATGGCTTTGTTAACAGGCCAATCGAAAGGTGTTGTTCATACTAATCGAAGGACATGGTTCACATGCCTGTCAAAGCTTCCTGGACACAATGCTGAATCGAAGGTTCCCTTGGCATGCCAATCGAAGTGCTCGTCCATAATTCCAATCGAAATACTCCTTTAGAATGCCAATCGAAGGGTCTTTCAAAATGACAATCGAAGTGCTCCTTCAGAATACCAATCGAAGTACTTGTCCATAATGCCAATCGAAATACTCTTTCAGAATGCCAATCGAAGGGTCTTTCAGAATGACAATCGAAGTTGTCCTTCAGAATACCAATCGAAGTACTTGCCCATAATGCCAATCGAAATGCTCCTTCAGAATGCCAATCGAAATGCTCCTGCAGAATGCCAATCGAAGGGCCTTTCAGAATGCCAATCGAAAGGTACCTAAAGCACCACTCAAAAATTTTCTTTTTCCTTAGGTAAGGGTTTCTGATCAGCCATGCAGGGGGAAGACTTTGGAAAACCTGAGAGGGCAAATTTTGGGGTGCAACACGGCCCAATTGGCCTTTTTTCCCCAAAGGAAAATTTTAATAAACAAAAGATTTAACAAAGCAATATTGTAATAAGAAGCTCATCAGCAATAATATATTACACTTCCTCCTTAAAAAACATTTATTATCTCTTTTATAATAACAAAAGTTTTAACAATAATCCCCCTCTTCCTTTTTTTTAAATCAGTAATAACATAAGATCACAAATGCATTAGCTTTATTAAAAACTTAATGGGCCTATAACTTTGTAATCACACCCCTCTCTTAAACAAAAGAAAATCATTGGGCCTTATATTAAGCACACTCAAACAAATGTTTAAATAAGAATGCCCAAGAATTTTGACGGACTTTTAATACCAATACCCCTCTTTTGCTATCAACGAAAGCTAGAAACGGGCCAACTAGGTAAATAGCTCCCACCCTTCTTACTAAGTTTCCTTAATAAATCAATTATCCTTTAATAGCAATTTTAATTTCTCTAATAACAACTATTTAGTAGTTATTATCCTGAAATAACTTTACATTTGAATCGCATGGGCCATTGGCCAACATGCCACGTGAATGGGTTCACAGATGCATGAGTCTTTATGCTTTAGAAAGCTTCCATTTTCTCGAATTAAAATACACCCCTAGTCTTGGATAAATATGGGCCATCAGATACTGCTGTACCATCTTTACTTAAATATTTCTTCTATTTTAATCTCGAAAAATAAAATTATCGAGGTAGGACAAATTCGGGTACAACACGAGGCAGTGATGCTCCTAATCGCTCCTTTCGTCGGGCGAGCACCATGCGAGCAGAGCACCTCTAGCATCGTCGAGCGAGCCTCAGGCGAGCAGCCTTGACAAAATTTTCAATGTGTCGTAACTTGAGTTTTAGGACTCCGTTTGATGCGCCGTTCAAAGCGCTGGGAAGCTAATGCCCAGAACTATATCATGACAGAGTTGTTTGAATTGTTTGATGCATGATTCTAGTACCTATATGTTTATGGTATTGATTTATTACATGTTTTCTATGCTATGAGGTTCTATTTATTTTAATTATGAATATGATGTTACTATGATGTTGTTGTGATGTTATGATGGTGTTGTGACGATATTATGATGATGTGCATGTTTTAAATATGTAATACATGCTATGTGACATTTATATGAATAATGATGCAATTGACTAGTTATGGTCGAATTTTATGTGATGTTTCGTGTATCATGCATTCATAGCATTATTTTGGACAGTGGTTCGCTATTTTAGACGGTGGTCCGCTTGTGACGAGCCTCAATCTCATTGTATGGATTGAGTGCGTTTATGATGTGCTCTGGTTCCAAGATAGAATCGATCCTATGGTATGGATATTTGGAGGGTGATGAACCAGGTGTTCATAGAATATTGGTACCACATGTATTGAGTTAGTATTGTAAATTAACATCCTATGTGATATTGCATGATTTTATGATGAGTTTTGATGTGATGATAATTGTGAACCATGTGTGTATATGATGATTTGATGATGAATGATGTCTAAGGGCTATTATGATGTATCTATGAGTATGACATGTCGATGAATACAATATGTTGTTATATGATGATATTGTTTGTAACTACTCATCTTTTCCTTATATCTTTTATAGTGAATCGCGATTACTCACCCTTCCTGTTTGAATGTTGCCTCCACGTGGGTAACACACAGGTGACTAGGAGTAGTTCGTAGAAGCATCAATGATAGCTTCGGAGTGTTTTATTTAGTTTTCTACATTAATAGTGTCTTGCTCTAATATGTAACATCGGGTTATGAACGCTATGTTTTGCGAATGATGTACTTTTATTAACATATTTTTATGAGATTTTTATATGCTAAAGTGTTTTAATTATAACTTTTAATGAGATTATAATACTTGAGTTTTTGAAATATGCAACGAAGTTGTTTTATGATGATGATTTCCGCTACAACGATTTTAAATGAAATGATGATGTATAATTAGATGCATGTTAAATATGTATGTAACCTATGTTACGAAGCAGAATAGGATTTACGTTATTTTCTATTAAGTGTGACACCCTTGAGCAGTGATTTTATTTGAATTAATTCGTAAATTATATGAGAATTACATGTGGGATTAGAAGGGTGTTACATTATGCAAGGGGATCCTTTAACCCCTTACCTATTTGTCTTATGTATTGATAAGTTATCTCATATGATTATGATGTTGCGGAGAAGAGATAATGCATTGTCATGAAATATGGAGGCAAAGTCTTAAAGTTTCTCATCTGATATTTGCAGATGATCTAATTCTATTTAGGAAAGCTATTGTTTAATAAATTACTTGCTTCAGTAAAGTCTTGAGGAATTTATGTGGAGCTTCAGGTTAAAGGGTTAGTGTGGACAAGTCTAGAATTTTATTCCCCGAGAATACTCCTATACACATTAGAAATCAAATTGTTCAAGTGTTTGGTCTAAAAGAAACAAAAGATATTGGCAGGTACTTAGGGGTGCCTCTAATAGGTCTCCAGCATAGAGTAAAGAATTATCAATATGTTATTGACAAGGTAAGGGCTAAGATCACTAGTTGGAAAGGTAAAAAGCTTTGTTATGCTGGTAGAGTAACCCTTGCCAAGACTGGAATAGAGGCCTTTCCAACTTACACCATGATGAATAACAAAGTGCCTACTACTTGCTTGAAGGAAATACATAATATTCAAAGGAACTTTATTTTGGGTCATAGTGAAGATGAGACGAAAATGCATACCATTAGTTGGAAAGAGATTACAAAACCTAAAAAACTCTGATGATTGAGCTTGAGAAATCTCAAAGATATGAACGGTGCATGCATTTCCAAACTAGGGTGGATGATTAAGTTAGGAGAAGATACCATGTGATGTGAAATTATGAAAGAAAAATACATCATAGAATCTAAATATTTTCCAAAGCTTATAAATCCAGTCTTTCAAAACAAATTGTGAGTGTTTGGCCTATGATAGATATAGTGTAAATAGATATTAGTTTCAGTTGTCATAAATGATGAGTTGTACATGTTAGTTATACTGTATTAGTTTGTTACATTTAGTTATATCTCTTACTCTATAATTCATTGTATCATTTGATTCAATAAATACAATAAGAGTTTCACAAACTATTATCTCTCTCTCTGCACTATGATACTATAACATGGTATCTAGAGCTTCCATTTAAGATCCAGCCACACGCTTCTATGGATCCTTTGTTTCCTTCTTCGCAAGTGAAACTTTCTCACTTGATCTCTGTTAAGCTTGATGATAAGAACTTCAAGCAATGGAAGAAACAAATTAATGGAGTTGTTCGCGGTCATCGTCTTCAACGCTTCATCACTGTTCCGGTGATTCCACCATAGTCAACATCTTATTCAGTTTATGAACTTCACAGTGCAAACTCTGCGTATCTTGATTGGGAACAACAAGACGCACTCATCTGCACATGGCTTCTCTCCACTATTTGTGATTCGCTTCTTCTGAAGCTTGTTGATTGCAAGCATTCATGGAAAGTCTCGACGGAGATTCACTATTACTTCAATACGCTTCTCTCCACCAAAATGCGACATTTGCGATCGGAATTGTTTCGTCTCACGAAAGGTACGCTTAGGATTGAGGAACTCATGGTTCGTGTTCGTGAAATCAGTGAGTCTTTGATTTCGATTGGAGATCCAGTTCCTCTTCATAACCTAATTGAGATCGTTCTCGATGCGCTTCTCGAGGAATACGACTTCATTATTACAATTGGTAATAGTAAACAAGAACACAATTTTCTTGATGAGCTTAATTCGTCGCTTCTTCCGCATGAGTCGCGCTTGGAGAAGCATCATAAAGTCATCGTCACTGAACCTGCAACGGTGAATCTTACGCAGGTAGCACCATCGTCTGCAACGGTCTCCACGATTAATTCGTCACGGACGCTTTCCTCAAGGTACGAGTCACGTCGCTGTGAATGCTGAGAATCATGGTTATAGCTCACGTGGAGGCCGTTCTGGTTGTGGAGGTGGTCGTTATGGCTGTGGTGGTGGTTGTTTTGGTAAAATGCCATGTCAGATTTGTCACAAATCCGGACATGATGCATCCATCTTATATTATCGTTATTCAAATTCCATTCGTGATGTGTATCCACCTTAATCGTACCTGACCAGAAGGGGTTGTCAAAGTCCACAAGCTTTGAGCCGAGCAGCAGTTGGATGTGAAGTGGGGGGTACCAGCAAGAAACTTTGATGCCAAAGTGAGGTTCAGAGCAATGCAAGCATGTATGAGAGTGAGTATGAAAGAATGAATACCTGACCCTCTCAAGTGTGAGGGAATTTATAGCCCCCAGCACTGGACCAAGAGGACTCCGTGATATTCAGAGGTGTTGAGGATCAACCCTATGAGGAGGATGCTCGTGAGGTACTTCTGTCTATCATGGACCCTCCCTGCCAGTTAGGTAGTTGCCCTCAGAGGACTTGTATTGGTTGACAAGAAGAGTGGACATGCTTGCGAGGTCCTTCTGATCATCATCGTCCCTCCTCGCCATTCCCGGGGTTGCCCTGGAAGGCAAGGCCGTGTCGATCAGAAGAACGAGGTTACTGCCCGAGCTAGTCGAGGGAAGTCATCGTTAGCGGGCTATCCCACGTACCACAGTCGAAATGGGCCTTATATTATTTTGGGCCAAGTGCAAGCCCAATCCAGAATAGGAGCCCTCCAAGTCGTTTCTCCTGGTGAAGGAGTTATGACTTAAATCCAACTTCTTCTTATGGCGAGCATAATTTAGGCAGGTATTTTTTACTGCATCGAAGGAGAAGGTCGTCGGTATGTGTGGTTACTCGAGCAACGGTTGGAATTGGCTTGATGGGGAATATTTCAGTTGTTCCTTGACTCGCAGGGAGAAGAAGGTTTTGTTGTACCCCAAAATTTTCCCTTCCATTTTTCTTCAAGACTTTCTCATGAGGTCCTCATTTGCTCAACGATGCTCAAGAGTTGATCATACAAATTCTCCTCCTTGGCAATAGGTCCATAACTAGGGTTTCATCCTGAACAAGGAATAATGGGTTTCAAGTGTCTCAAGTGGTTTCCATAATTCTCCATAGGTCTTCAACAATGTTCATGTCAATTTTCAAGCCTTACATCACAAGTTTGCTCAGTCAATGACTCAGATGATTGAAAATCAATTGTATTAGGTAAAAAGTCAACTATGATCAACATATAGTCAAACTTCAAGATTTTTGGTCAACATCAACATTTTGAAGTGATATCCATCATTTTATTAAGATTTGATCATGATTCCTCAAGGAAAGCCCTCAAATCTTCAAAAGTCAAAAGTTGTCAAATTAGGATCTCCTTAGGAGAAGTAAACTGAACTTTGACCAAGCATAACTTTCACATGCTTCATCAACTTTTCCCGAACCAAAACCCATTTTGAAGGAAATTCAATTCTCTATAACTTTGTATCTGTATGCTCAAATCCAAAAAGTTCTTCATTTGAGAGATATGAGCCCATACATTATAGGTCATTTCAAAAGTCAACAAAAAGATACTTTTTGTCAAGGCAACTTACATCAAGATGAAGTCTCCAAATGCAAAAATGATCAAAATATAAATTGAAGAAGATATATAGAGATTTTAAAAAATTCAAAGATCATCTTCAAAAGATGAAAATTGAGAGAGTTGTGACCATTGCAAGTTGGGAAATTTTGGTAAAATGCATGAAATACAAATGAGCAAACATGAAATTTTGAACTAGTGGGCCTAACTTTTAATGTTCAAACATGTTCCCAATATGTTAAAGGACCTATAAATTCATTCACATATTTTTATGATTTTTATTTCTTTTATTTAAATTTTTATTTATTTAAATGAAAATAAGTCAAATAAAATGTAAAATCATTGGGCCAAGGCGCATGGGCTTTTGATTTCAATCACATGGAGGCCCAAGAACACATGACAAACATGCCAAAACCGTGAAAACATGTTGGGAACAAGAATCTTCAAGTTTGGAACATTTTTTTAAACAATTTTGGAAGGATTTCAATGTGTTTTTTGGTAATGAATTGTGACATGATGGTACAAGATTCTTGTCTTGTTCTTGTTCCATTATATTCCTCTATAAATACATGCAATACTCAAGTGCAAAGGGCATGAAATTTTCCTCTCAAGAACACACTCCAAATTTCTCAAATTTTGTCAAAACTAGTGCAAACACAAACCTCTATTTTCGGCCACTCTCAAGCAGTTCCAAGCATTCCATCACACTCCTGAAGGTCCCAGGAGCTTGTTCCAACCCTTACTCACGCTCAAGTGATCCCAAGACATGCCAACCAAGTGGCTCCGGCTTGGTAATGTTCTTCTCAAACTTTTCATCCATGCTATATAAATTAGTTCTAAGCATATATATGTGTTTCTAATGATGTTTGGAACCATTTAGAACCATCATTTTTTTGATATTTGATGTAGGAAAAACAATCCACCCTTGTTAGGGCAACATTTCAATGAAGCTTCGGATCCATAGTTGCAGTCATGATTAGTGCTAAATTTTTGTGAATTTAAGCGTGAATAATTAGCACTCATCAGCTTAATTCGTTTGTTTTTTATCAATAAACCTCAACTTTAGTGTATATTCGATATAGTTTATCTTATAGTGTATTTATTGCGTTATTGTGTAAATATTATTGAGTTTAATTGATTTTATCTCATTTTGTAGTTATCCAATCATTGATATTTATGCATTATTAGATAGAGCATTGAATAATCTTTTCAACATTTTGAACCGGGCGCGAATCAGAGTTACAGTTCAAAAGTTATGGCCGAAATAGTGCAGAATGATGTGCTGGTTTTTCAACTTCCTGTCATCCATCACCGGGCGATGCTTTTGGTTGCTGGGCGATGCTAGGCGAGTTTTAGCGTGGGAAAAACACTATTTTGGTCGTCGGGCGACGGTTTTTGGTCGTCGGGCAATGCTAGACAGTCAAAAATGCATATTTAGGTGTAAAAACACATTTTTTGGGTATGGTTTTGGATATTTTTTTTATCCCAACTCCATCAACCTTCATTTTTGGATAGGATTAGCTTAGAAAATAACATTGGAGCTTGCATACGGATGGTCCGGAGTGGATTTCTCATCAATCGGCGCTGATAAACCGGGAGATTTATGGTTCATTTCTCTTCCTCTTTGTGTATTCTTTATGTGTTAAGTTTGTACATGTATTTACTCTAAACTTATGTATATTTGTCGCCCATGGCATTATATTAAACTTTATTTACAAATTTTTGTCAATTGTTGTCCTGGATTTTTGCTCTGTGCTAGGGATTTGAGTTGTTATAGATACATAATACTTAGATTCTTATCTAGGATGATTATTTGTTAGTTTCTGAACTCTAGAGATAGATTTAGAGCTGGCATATACTTGGGTATCAGAGCTTAATGCCTTTGTGTGATTTTGTTGTACTGAGAGATCGTTAGTATAATTACATATTTGTCTTCTGTGTTGTTGAGAAGGTAGAGAGATTATTTCCTTGGTGATACAATTGGTCTCTCCATTTGGGTTAGAAATGACTTAGTTGTGAGTGATACGTAGTGACATTGATGACTATTGTTAGGTTGAATGTAAATGGTCGATAAATTTAAGTCTGTGATAAGTAGATTATATGCAGGCTTGATAAGTTACTCCTTAGTTTTTACTTTTATTTACCTTTATTTTTTTTATACTTTTCTTTACAGGCTTTGTTGAGAAATACAGGAAAAGTATCAGGCTCTGTTGAGAAATCAGACCTGGACATTGGTAAAGTAATCTACTTCTAGGAAGCCCATTGGCTGCAAATGGGTCTTTAACATAATCCTGATGGTTCCATAAACAAATACAAGGCTGGAATGGTGGCCAAAGGGTTTCATCAAAAGGCTGGAAGTGATTTCACTGAAACATTCTCACTTGTGGTTAAGGTTGTACTAGTCAGGACTATGTTATCTCTCGTAGTCACCAACAACTGGACTATTTAGCAACTTGATGTCAATGATGCCTTTCTAAATGGCACTCTTGAAGGTGTGATCCAAGCCTATTTTTGCTTAATCATGGGAGTCTATAGATCATGATCCTTGTCTATGTTGATGATATAATCATCACTAGAAATTCCGCCTCATTTATAGAGTCTTTGATTAAGCATTTTAATGATAAATTCTCTCTTAAGTAGTTGGGCAAGCTGGATTATTTCTTAGGCATTGAGGTCACCCATATGTCTAATGGGTCCTTACTTCTTTCTCAAACAAAGTACATCACTGATATACTGGCCAAGGTGAATATGCTGAATGCAAATAACATGCCTACTCCTATGATTTCAAGCAGTAAGCTCTCCAAAATAGGTTATATTGTTGATGATCCTACACAGTTCAAATAAGTTATTGGTGCTCTATAGTATGCAACATTAACTATACCTAAAATCTCATTTTCAATTAACAAAGTGTGCCAGTTTTTGTCCAATCCCTTGGAGGAACATTGGAAGGCAGTTAAAAGAATTTTAAGATATTTAAGTGGCACTCCTTAACATGGTCTTCTTATTCAACCTGCCTCTACTCAACAACCATTACAGTTGCTTGGGTTTTGTGATGCTAATTGGGCATCAGACCCTGATGGCAGAATATCCACCTCAGGAGCATGTGTTTTTCTAGGCCCTAATATGGTTTCTTGGTGGTCTAAAAAGCAGCAACGTGTAGCACGATCCAGTGCAGAAGCAGGTGAGTGTAATGTCATAAATAAAGTTTTATGATTGTTCAAAATTTGCGACATGAAAATCACGTGGCAAGGTTGTCACGTAATTTTCACGTCGTTGATTGGCTTATATTTTTTTTTTGTTTCACATAAACATAACGTATTCTTCTTGTTTGTTTTCCTTCTTCTTCCACTTCCAATACCTCTTCTCTCTGTTTCTCACTTTTTACTATAATACACTCATATCTTAATTTCTATTATACTTCTAATTTACAAAGGTAATACTCTTCTACAATTTTGCTTCAATTTTTTTTACAATTTTGTTTAATGTTTATAGTGTATTGGGATTTTAATTCATGTTAATTTTTTTTCAAGATATTGAATAAAAGAAGATTGAAGAGGATTTGAAAAAGATTGAACAAGAAGATTTAAGGAGATTGAAGAAGAGGTATTTTTGTAATTTTTTTTATAAATTTGATATATTTTCTGGATTGTTGGTTGGTACTTTAGGTTAAATTTGATTAATTTTTTTTTTGTTATTAGGTTAATATTTTAACTTTTGTAAATGAAAAATAAAACAAAAATTCATTTTATTTTTTACTTAAAACAAAATTATGTATATTAAAAAATATTATTTTTTATTTATTAAATATATATTATAAAACAGAAATGTTAAAACAGAATATAAAAAAAATTATAAATTATAAAAGACAAAAATTTATATATATATATATATATATATATATATATATATATATATATATATATATATATATATATATATATATATATATATATATATATATATATATATATATATATATATATATATATATATATATATATATATATATATATATATATATATATATATTATAAAACAAAATATTTAAAAAAAATTATAAAACTGAGCTGCAGGGCAAGAGCTGGAGGATACCAGAAATAAAGATGATTTTGATATTGACAATTATCTCAACCAAAATAACTTGTTGAATTAAATTTTTTTTATTTTGCTTTTAAATTTAAATTTGTGTAACATATTAATTAATTAAACACATTTAGTATATTAAATTAAGAAAGCTTAAATTTATAATTTTAGTTTATTAATTTTATTATATTAAATTTATTTAGTTTACTAATTTATATTGAATTTATTAATTAATTTTATTAATTATAAAAGAAAAATAAATTTCAGCAATTAAATTAAAATAAAAACATTAATGACGTGATTTCCAATGTCACTAAGTTGTGATATGTAAATCACGTCGCAACTTAATTTTTTTATAAAAAAAAATAAAAACGGAATAGAACGTTTTATTGTTAAATGTAATTAATTATTAGTGACGTGAAATTCACGTAGCAAATAAAGTGCTACTCCGACTTATGCGCTTGTTATGCCTGCTTTCGCTGTTATATTCAGATTTTTGTTCAAGCGAGTTACGATGTGATTTTCACGTCACAACTTTGTAACATAAAAATTATGCCGCAATAAATTTGTCATCCGCTCCTCAGCCACGTGATTGTTCACGTCGCAAATTAATAATTGTGATATGATTTTTCACGTTGTAACGTGAATTTCACGTTGTAACTGAGAGTTTTTTTTTGTAGTGACAGTGTATAGTTTAATGATTGTCCTAATTTTCTTTTCAATGTATTGTTTGATAATATTAGAGATATTGGTTGATTTGTTTGCTTTTGTTTTGGGCTTTTTATTCGTAATTTTTTTATAAAAATTATTTCTAATAATTTTTATAAAAAAATTTAAATAAAATATATATAACAATATAAAAATAATTAATAAATAAAAGTTGAAACAAACATGTTGTAATTCATATTTATTGACTCAATTTTGATTAATTTATTTGGATGGAATATAGGAGAAAAATATTACCAAATAAGATTTTTGTCATTTCCATACCATTTGTTATTTAAATAGTACTGTAGTGCCATTTTCGATTACCAAATTCATCAAACACTAATTCATAGAAAAACAGAAAAATCTATAATGAGTGCCTCTGATTTTTCAGCTGCGTTCGCAACGACGCCGTTTCGCCACCACCTTTCTTCAACTGGTTACTTAACGACGTCGTGTAAGTTCGGTTTCAAGTTGCAGCGCCACTTCAGCGGTGGAGAGACTCGACGGAGTGTTCAAGGAATTGAAATTGCGGCGTTGTGGCCGAACACAGACTCCGCAGTTTCTCCACCGTCTTCGCCGGGGGAATCAAATGGAGCTTTAGAGGTTAACGCCGCCGTTGATAAATCCTACTCGTTTTTGAAATGCGATGGATCAAAAACCGTTCATGCTGGTACTTGTTTCTCTATATATTTAATAGTTATTTATTTTTTCAATTATTTAAAAAACAAAAAAATTAACACAAATTATGTACAATTTTATGTATTAGGATTTAAATTTGAAATTTTGAAAGAAAAATATTTTTAAAACAAAGTGTTTTACCACTAGATTAAACAAGCACGCAGAATTTATATTTTGTACTTACGAGACTTTTTTTTATTTGTTAGATTTATGATAATTAATTGTTGGTGTTATTATTTTTATGATAGGTCACCCTAGTGGGTCGTGTACACAACCCACTATGCCACTCACATATATAATGTTAATAAACTTTATGCGTACAATTAATTTAATTTTAGTAAATTATAATATTAATTTTGTAAACAAATTCTTACTATTTGAAAAATGATGAAATACAATCTATTGATGATATTTTAACTTTGAAATTTCAATTTAATCTATTATAATAAACATTATACATAAATAAAAGATAAAGGAAAAAAAATGGCAACAAATGGTATTGCTATACTTTTTCGATGAGAAAATAAACTATCTTATAATTTATTTATTTTTAAATTAATTATCTTAAAAACTACCACAGAAAACATATTACTATGAATGAATCTTTGAATTAAATATAAAAAGTTCACTATCTATTATACACTAAGAAGTAAAATAATATATTATGATTAAATATTTTTTTTCGTTCTTATAAAATTTTCTAATTTAGTTTTTGGTCTTTATAAACTTTTTTATATTGTTTTGATTTCTACAAAATTATTAAGTACGTAGTTTTAGTCTTTCTTCTAAATCAATGTGTATTCTTAATAATTATTTTGAAGACATGTCTTTTTTTTTATTACAAGGAGGGCCGAAGCCCGAAAACAAGAGACTACACACACACACTATCCTAGCAGTGGAGACGCCCCTAGCATCCTCCTCAAGCAGCTTCACAATGCAATCTAGGGTCTCATAAAAAAGAACCATGTCTTGTTGAATCTCACATCCCACCTTAGCAAGCGCATCAATACATCTATTCGTCTCCATATAAGAGTGACAAATAACAACCTCCTCTAACCTTTCAATAAGCCTACAAACATGATTAATAAGCGAGAGACTCTCAATCATGTCAGAACATCTCTTATCAATAGCCTTAAGAACCTTAGTGGAATCAACATTAATCTCCACTTTCAAATTTCCTCGATTATGCAGTAATTTAATACCTTCATATAAACCCCATAATTATGCCATAAACACATTACAAGTCCCTAGACACTTTGCAAAACCAAGGCACATTGACCCTTTATCATCCCTAATAACCCCTGACATCCTGAGCTCAAACCATTCTTGCAAGCTTCATCCATATTTAGCTTCATCCAACCCCTATGAGGAGGACACCACGAAATCCGTTGGACCATTCTAGCTTTCTCTATGACCACCTTATTCATAATTGTCGCCTCCGCATTTTCCAAAACTTGTTTCCCAATATGAGCATCAGGATTGAACGGTCTGAGATAACCTTCACAATGTGCCTCCTCATTACGCCACATCTATAATAATCTACAACTAGTAGCCCAAAGAAAGTTCCACTCATTTCCCACCCCATCTCTCTCCTTGATGTTAAATTATATCCATTGCTGCAAATCAAGGCTATATAATTGGTGCACAATATAGCTAGGAACCAAACTGCCCCACACTTGCTTTGCAGCTGGACAATCACGTATGACATGAACCGCATCCTCACAGACATGCCCACACTTGTCGCAACATGCTGAACCAAGCCCCGTACTAATCTTCTTAAAATTAGTCAAAAGTCTATCATGCTTTAACAGCCAGATAAAATACCAAATTTTTTCCAGCACTTTCAAATTCCAAATGCATTTCCAGAGTCCACTCTTAGCTTGGTCATGCACGCGATAAAGAGAATTATACATCTCTTTCACAACAAAACCACCACCCCTAGTCCCTGCAATTAAGAACCGATCTTCAACATGCTCCTCCACGGGGGAAGCACTGAACGCATCTTATCTAGGATATCCTTAGGTAACCAATTTAGATAATTCCAATTCCATTCCCCACTAATGCTAACCAAATCATAAACCTTAATACCCCTCATCACCTCCAGAACATGAGTACCACAGTCAATAATACTCCATCCTGGTTCGATCCAAATATTAGTCCAAACATTGATAGTGTTACCATTACCAATACTCCAAATACCCAACTCTTGAAATTTTGACATGCCTTTGCAGAAAGCTTTCCAAAAACTTTGAATCCAACAATATAGTACGTGTATAATCAACTTTACCATCTCTTCCACATATACCTCTCAGAACACAACACCACAAATCCTCAGACTTCGTCACAAGCTGCCAGTTAAGTTTTAGTAAGCACGCTTTATTCATTGTCCCAAGCTCACAGAGGCCTAACCCACCAGCTTCACGCTCATGAGTTAGGCTTTCCCATTTAATTGCATCAAACCACTTCTTGTCCACCGTATCTCCCTATATGAAGTTCCTCTGTAACTTATGAATTTCATCAAGACAAGCTTTAGGAATCAGATTGGTCATCATTGGATATGTTGGAATATCTTATATAACACTTTTAGCAAACGTAACACGAACTGCAAAAGATAATAGTCTTCCAATTAGCAAGTCAATTGGTAACTTGCTCCATCAAATACTGATAATCTCCTTTCTTAAGTTCCTTTCCACTGAGAGGGACACCCAAATACTTTCCAAACTGAGTCGTTTCCTTGAATTCATACATATGCTTTAGCTTTGCTCTCATTTTCCTACTCACATTCAGAGAGAACATAATACTAGATTTCTCAGCACTAACTTCTTGACCACACATTGAACAAAATGTGTTAAAAGTATAAATAACACACTACATTTGCTTCTCCGAGGCATTTCCTGTTGGAACATGTCCATGTTTCAATATGTTGAATTTAAAAATTTCTCAAGTCCCACATTGTTAGAATATTTTTTTGGTTGAAAAAACCATTTAGTCCCACATTGCTCATGTGCGAAATATTAACTATCTTACTTCACTATATAAGGAGTGCACATGTTTCATTCCAAATTACATCAAAAACTACTCTACTAGTTTTTCCTTCCTCACTCTCATAACTCTGCATCTCTCGAATTGTCGAAGCGCCATCTTCTTCCCCTTTCTTCCTACTCGTTGAATTTTCCTAGTATTTTCTTGAATTCTCTTTAGAGAATTATGTTAATTTCTCCTCATTTGAGTTGAGAAATTTTCAAGTTTAATCTTTTGGATTCTCTTTGGAGGATTATTTGAATTTCTCTTTGTTGGAGAAATTATTATGAGTGGTCAAATGACCATTATTAATTTCTCTTTGGAGAATTATTTGAGTTTCTTTTTGTTTAAGAAATTATTATGACTGGTCTTTGTACCAGATACTACGAGTGGTGTTGATACCATATTTGAATGGTCTTGTACCATTAGAGGGTGTATTTCTAGATCGATTATCTATCATGCAAGTAGTAATCGTACAGTAGAACTGGGTTGTTTTATCCTGGAGGCGGCGCGGTGGGCTGTTTTATCCTGGAGGCGGTGCGGTAGTTTGACTGCTTTGCATAATTTTGAGTAGTGCCGCGAAATGTCTTAAAGAGAGCGACCTAGTTCGCGACTCAACCTGGTAATTTCTTCGGTGGCAAATATTTCAAAATCTGAAACCAACAATTTAAGACGTTTCAAACTGCCACGACTATCAAAGAAATTATTGGTTCTTTTGCGAATATTGTCGTTGAGAAATCGTTCATGTTTAAGAGAAGTCACTTCAAACGTTGGCAACAAAAGATGAAGTTCTTAATGTTGAAAAAGAGTTGTTAACGTTTTGATTGATGATACTCTGTTGCTCCTTCTGGATCAATCGAACAAACTAACGGTAGTAAATCTGGAGATTTAGAGGAACACTTAATAGTGTTGAAGTTGAATCTGCTGCACAGATTAAAGCGAATGATTTACAACATAGTAAAGAAATCACCTTATAGAAAGAGAATGAAAATCTCTACAAAAATCATATTTTGAATAGACTCGCAGATGATCTGTATGATAATTACAGTTGATGTGATACTGCAAAACAAGATTGAGAGACTCGGAAAAAGAAGTATGACGTAGAAGCTAGAGCAAAGAAGTATGTTGTTAGCCGCTACTTCAAGTATCAAATGTGAAAATGTAAGGTCGATGGAGGCTCAATGTTACGAACTGTAAAAGATTGCTTAAAAGATCATCACAAAAGGTATGTGTTTAAATGAACAATTTCAAATTGGTTTTATTATTGACAAACTAGCCCACAGTTTGAATGTTTAAAAAAACAAAAAAGGGAATCTTAGAGACAATATCAAAAAAAAGAAAAAGTCTTGGTTGTTTTAAACAACAACAAAAAATTCGGTATAGTTCTGAAGCCATTTGGCAAATGATTAAAGAATCAGAACCGCAATATTGTGAACCGAATTAAGAATGGGAATCCTTCTATGATCCCAATAGCTCCAACTAGGCAACAACCACCACCTAAAAGAAATGAGGTTGGTTTCCCTTTGTTTTATTAACTATGGAAAATCAAGTCATATGACTAAGAAATGTAGAAGTAAGCTTGAACTTCTTGGTGTTGTCCCTAATGCATGGATCAACCTGACTAATGGGCAATTTATTGCTATGGTCATTAAAATCAACATTGTTGATGAATATGTTGGTTGGTGGATAGACACATGCGTCTCTCGTTGTGTCTGCTATGATCGTGTTATGTTTAAACATACACGAATACTAAAGATAAGAAAGTGTTGCTGGGAGATGGCCAGACCATGAATGTTGCTGGAATTGTAGACATGGAGCTAAATTTCACCTTCAAAAAGACTTTAATATTAAAGAACATTATGCAGGTTCCTAAGATTAGAAAGAATATTGTTTCTGGTTTTCTTTTAATAAGACATGGTTTAGTCAGTCTATTGGGGTAGATTTGTACGCCATTACAAAGAATGAAGTTTATATGTTTAAAATTCTTGTAAAGAATTTGAAAATAATATAATAAGAATTTACAGTGATAGATAGACTGTATGATTCTAGTTTATTAATGAATTTTATACATGGAATTGTACATGAAACGACTGCACCATACTATCTTGCAATGAATAGTAAAACAAAAAGAAATAATAGAACTCTTACTGAACTTGTTGTTGCAATTATGATGAATTTTGGTGCTGCACCTCACTGGTGGGGGAAATTTTATTGACTGTTTGCTATGTCCTGAATAGAGTCCCCAAGTCAAAATGTAAGATCTCTCCTTATGAGATATTAAAGAAAAGACAATCAAACTTGTCTTATTTGAGAACTTGGGGTTGTCTGACTTATGTCAGAATTCCAGATCTGAAACGAGTTAAACTCGCTAGTAGAGCATATGAATGTGTTTTCATTCGGTATGCAGCAAACAGTAAAGCATATAGGTTTTATGACCTAAAGGCAAAAGTGATCATAGAATCAACTGATATTGAATTCTATGAAGACAAATTTCCTTTCAAATTGAGAAATAGTGGGGGCACACAATCGAGTCACATTCCTGTGATAAGAAGTACAGAAAGCAACGACAATGTAGAAATAGAACTTCAACGAAGTAAACGAGTAAGAGTTGCTAAAGACTATAGGCCTAATTATGTGGCTTATAATGTAGAAGAAGATCCAATGAATCTTCAAGAAGCTTTGTCATCTCTGGATGTTTAGTTATGGCAAGAAGCTATCAATGATGAGATAGAATCTCTAGAATATAACAAGACCTGACACTTAGTAGACTTGCATCCTGGTTGCAAACTAATCGGTTGTAAATGGGTTTTGAAAAAGAAACTAAAACATGATGGAACTATTGATAAATACAAGGTTTTCCTTGTTGCCAAGGGTTTTAGACAAAGAGAAAATATAGATTTCTTCGACACCTTTTCTCTTGTCACTAGAATTACATCCATTAGGGTACTTATTTCAATAGTTGCTATTTATAACTTAATAGTACACCAAATGGATGTTAAAACAACTTTTTTAAACAGTGACTTGGAAGAAGAAATATATATGAAACAACCGGAAGGGTTTGTGATCTATGGATAAGAAAACAAGGTCTGTAAGTTAGATAAGTCTTTGTGTGGGCTAAAACAAGCTCCAAAGCAATGGCATGTAAAGTTTGATAACTTAATGATATTGAATGTGTACAAAGTGAATGAAAGTGACAAATACGTTTATTACAAATTTGAGAATTGTATTTGCACTATCATATGTCTATATGTAGACTATCTACTCATATTTGGATCAAACATCCAAACCATTAATGATATGAAATCATTGTTGTGCAACAAATTTGATATGAAAGACCTCGGAGAAGTGAGTGTGATTCTTGGTATCAAGATCACAAAATCCGAGCAAGGAATTTCTTTGGATCAATCACAATATGTGAAAAAGATCTTAAAGAAATATAATTACTTTGACAGTAAACCTGTGAGCACACCAAATGATCCAAGCGTGAAGCTGTTTAAGAACACTGGTGAAAGTGTTAGACAAACAGAACATACGAGAATCATTGGAAATCTTAGGTATTCCATTGATTGTACTAAACCTGACATTGCATATGTCGTAGGGATTGTTGTGCGGGTTTACTAGTAGACCGAGTAATGAACATTGACAAGCTATTGAGCGAGTCATACGGTACCTTAAAAGGACCATGAATCTCGGTTCACATTAACAGAGATTTCCTGTTGTACCTGAAGGATACAATGATGCAGATTGGAATACCTTATCAAATGATTCCAAAGGAACTAGTGGCTATGTATTCAACATAGCTAGAGGAGTTGTATCTTGGAAATCAAAGAAACATACTATCTTGAGAATATAGCATTAGCGACTGCTAGTGAAGAAGCAAGTTGGTTAAGAT